GAAAACACAGACGAACAGATGGCGCGTGCGCACACACGAGACATACATAGGCAGGCACAACTCAGCATGCAGGTACACATAGCCACGCACGCACGTCGTGCATACCATACGACGCGCTACCCTGGCACACACGCGCGTTCCGACACATGAACACGCATGCCCTGCGTACAACGATTATTACGTGCAGCCCACGCACCCACGCGCATAGGCATAGCATAAACGTGCACGCCCGCATCACGGCGCGTACCCGACACTGCGCGCACAGGCACGCACTTACCTGTAAATGCCGATGCGCAAATTCCTCATGCTGCAACTACACGCTGGCTGACCCGCACGCTAAGCTTGCTCGCAACACGTGACACATAAAGTATATATATGCTTATTGATTGGGCGACTAAGCCGTGCTGCAAATGCTCCAGCGCACGTGCAGCAAACACGGCGCGACAGCACGCAGCGCCACGCTGGCTATTATGTGTACAGTGTCGGCAGCAGCTGCGTGGGCGGCAGCCCGGCGTTGGTTGCAGCGATGAGCATTTGGGACGGGCATTTACAGGAAATGACGGCAAATAATAAGTGAAAGAGAGTAGAGAAAGCATTAAGACTTTGGTAAGTAACTAGGTCTCTCTCTCTCTCTCTCTCTCTCTCTCTCTCTCTTTCTCTCTCTTGCTCTCTCTCGCGCTCTCTCTCTCTCTTTCTCTCTCTTGCTTTCTCTCCCTCCCTCTATTCCCTTTTCTATCTCATTTTCTCTCTCTCCTTCTGTTGCTGACTCTGTCAATGTCTCTGTCTTTCTCTCTCTATCTCTCTCCCCCATCTCCCTCTCCCTCGTCCTCTCTCTCTCACTTTAGCTTCCACTTCACTTATCCACATTCGCTGTACCGTTCATCACCGCCGTTGTAAGTGCAATGCGGAAGGCAGCGGCGAATATAACAATCGCTAGTAGACCGACATCATCGACGACAACACGCTGCGTTCTGCACATAACCCGCGAGAGCACCCTGCCAGCATACCCTGCCAGCCTACCCTGCCAGCCTACCCTGCCAGCCTACCCTGCCAGCCTACCCTGCCAGCCCACGCTGCCGCCAGCCCGCGCCCCTCCAACCTACCCTGCCAGCTCACCTTGCCAACCCCACACCTTGCCAGCTCACCCTGCCAGCCCGCACCCTGCCAACCCACCCTGCCAGCTCACCCTGCCAGCCCGCACCCCGCCAACCCGTGCCCCGCCAACCCACTTTGCCTACCTGCGCCCCCGCCAACCCACGCAACCACCATCGTCATTCTCCCTCATCACTCTTGTCGCTGCTTGCAGGCGCACTGTGGGTGTGCGTGGTGCTCAACCCCAGCTCTGCTACACTGGAGAAGGCACACTGGAGGCAGCTGCTGCAGGAATGGTCTCACCTGGACGTCTGCCCGTTCGAGGATGCGGACAACAGGGTGATAGCCGTCGGTAACCACGGCAACCACGATCCGCACAATGGTCGGCAACCAAGTAAGCAGGTTGGGTGGTTGGTTTGGGGTGGGTGGGAGTGGAGGATGGGTGGGTGGAAGGGTGGATGGTTGAAAGATGTTTTAGGAGGTGGACAGTTGGCTGGACAGTTTAATAGGTGTATAAATGGCTGAAGTCGTGGATGGGTGGGCGAAAGGGTGGGTGGATGGGTGGGTGGATGACTGGATGAAAGCTGTTTTGGGAAGTGGGCGGGTGGATGGATGAATGGTGTGAGGGATGCATGGATGGGTAGTTTAATAGATGTATGAATGAGTGAATAAGTGGTTGGATAGATGAATGAGTACGCTAGGGGTTGGGTGCATAGTTGGATAACAGAATAGTTAGTTGGTGGCTAGATAGATTGGGAGATGGGTTTGTCACACGGGCAGTGTACATTGTTGGTCACCCGACTCCGCACAATAGCGCAGCTGTATAAGATAACGTGAATATGAATGAATCTCGATGAAGAGTCATCGTAATCAATGGCTTCATTTATTTTGTGCGTCGTTGCGCTTTAAGAGGTTGCTTTAAGGTGGCATTCTGATGTTGCAGCCGTGTCCGGTACGAATCGATCCGGCCTTCGAACCATCTTCCACCGTGCATTAGAAGCCAGTGATCTACAGTGGACGGATCCACACCTAAGGTTTGCACGCCTATGAAGCTCTCAGCAGCGTACCTGGCACACAATACGCACAGCACGGGCGCTCCCGCACGCGCGCTATAGCACACATGAATCTAAGGTTTGCACACCTTTGCAGCCTTCCGCAGCATACCTAACCCAAAATACGCACGCACGCTCGCACATGCACACACCCACGCACACACACGCACGCACGCACATTAACCCTTCTGCTGACTCTGATGTAAAGTCTTTGGAACACTGGAATGGAGACCAGAAGGTTCATCGACTTTTCGTCTGTTGAATTCAAAGGGCAAACTCCTCGGAAAAAGAGATGCTGGGTAGATAAGTTAAAAACTCGCATCCGGTTTGTTTCGCCTGCTCAGCAAATTTCGCGCCTCGCCGCATTTCATCTGTTGGTGGTGTTGTCGTGTTTTGTCAAATTTTACAGGTATTTGGCTTCTAAAAATAGATCAACGTGATGTTATAGCACCAGACCATTATTGCTTCACGGACACAACACGTGTGTGACCAGGGTTGAATTTGACAAAAATGACAGCGACGAAAAGCCCCCACTTTGTAGGAGAGTGGCAAAAAATGTGTTCAGGGTATTAGAGCACTGGCTGTGTGGACAGTCACTAGGCAGAATGCTGAAAGAGGAAAAAGCACAATTTAGCAACTGTGTTGCAACGCCATGTAATATCTACGACTCGCGGTTACACAACTAAATGTTTCATGTTTGCACCCAGGCCATTGACAGGCTTATTGCATTCATATTTAATACTATAAATCATATATCAGAGCTGTATTAAAAATGAATTGCGCGGCGAAATTATTGCAATCCCGTAAGCAGTGAGCATATCGTGTCGGAAAAGGTGCGTGTTTTGCAGTGCGTGTTATCGCATGTGCTCAGTCCATAAATGTTGCGAGCGTGCGCGCGCGTGCATGTGTGCGTGTGCTTTTTTTACGACAACGAATGCTATACATTTGACTTGATTCAAAGCGCGAGTACATGTACACAGTCACTGTGCGCGTATGTGGCTGGCGCACGTGTATAAACCGCCGCTTATGTGTCTGCATTACAGGCACATCATGAACAGCAACTGCTGTAACATCGGTCGCATTGGTGCGTCTTGTTCAAGTGCTTTCAACTCTCAGGGACAATCATTGTGGCATGGTAAGTGTTAGCCATTGCTCCCTTCAATCTCCCTGCAAGGTACTGTTAGTGTGAGCATTAGTTTCCATCGCGGCAGTATTACACAGCTAGGAAATAATTTCCTCTATTATCCCAGCGTGGGTACGCATCAACTGCAACTTGCGATATCCTCTGAATAAGGTTTAACTTATAGTACATATAAGTTATAGTATAAGTTATAGCTATGGTACGGGTATCCGATAATTCCTTTTTACTATCACATTGTATTGTAAGGTAGGCTCAATGTAAGTGTTAATAGATATCAACCATAACTCATAGTACATAAGTTATATTATACGTTGTAGCTTTTGTACGGGTATCTAATAATTCCTTTGAAAATCGCTTTGTGGGATTGTAAGATTGTACCCCTCATTGACACGTGTGGTGTGCTAATGTAGTAAGTGTTAAATTGACTACGTGACGAATTTTTTATGGTGTATATTTGTAAAATGTTTGTTGCCATATTTTTACATTAAAAGTAAGTACTAACGGGACTAAACGTATCGTCAAATTCTCACCTGATAAGATTGTTTCTCAACTAGTTAAAAATCCAAAAAATCTGGACGATTTGATATTATGATCCTGACATTAATTAAGCAATTTAACCATAAAAAGGAACAGAGTTACTTACATTTTTGAAAAAGTGGAAATATTTTTTAATTTTTACTATTTCCGGTGACGTAATCACTTTAATGAATATCAACATGCGGTGTCCAGTAAACGCCATGTGCCTTGGCGTCTGTGATGCGTGTATACGTGACACCTAATATGTAGCAGGTCAGATCAGAGTGAATTGAAAGTGAAGAACCCAATCACGGAATGCTCTGCTCCACATTGATCTGCGTTCGCCGCACGCGAATCGATTTCCAGCGAGGATGTTCTTTCCGAATGAACAACGCATCGCGTTCTGTTCACCGTTTGTCCGCAGAACACATTCCGACCGCGTGCGCGCGAGTAGATGCTCTCAGGTCACATGGCTACAGCAAGGAAGCGTTGCGATTGGCTGTCGCCGTCGTCAGAACGATGAAGGAGAACCAATTGCAGCAGCGGAAGCATTTTGCCGCCGTTACAGGTACGTACGCCGCGTGTCCTATTACAGGTATGTCATTATTACAGGTACGCTGCGAGATAGCGTGGATGAGTGATTGCCACCCACGTGCTGTCGTCATGGCGATATCCGATCCATCCTCCCCAAGGTTTCTCATCTTGTTGCTCGTGCGTAGCGCTGCTCTGCACGTCTCCTCTGTACTGGCCATTGTTCTTTGTTTGGAAAATTCCATTTCGGAAGCGAAGAATGCGATGGATGCTGGGAGATTGTTGCGCACATTCGTGGCAGCAGGGGGCGCTGACGCGTGATGCTGTGAGGTCTTCGCTCGCGCGCGTGGCAGCAGGGGGCGCTGACGCGTGATGCTGTGAGGTCTTCGCTCGCGCGCGTGGCAGCAGGGGGCGCTGACGCGTGATGCTGTGAGGTAAGAGGAAGGTGAGTGCGCGGGAGGAGGAAGAGGAAGGTGAGTGTGCGGGAGGAGGAAGAGGAAGGTGAGTGTGCGGGAGGAGGAATAGGGATGTGCGCATGGGGGGGGGTAGCGAGGGTGAAGTGAACGCGCGGGCAGAGGGAGAGAGATGTGCGCGCACGGGAAGGAGAAGGAGGAGGATTCGGGGAAATGCACGGGCCTGCGTGTTACCCACCCACCTGGCTTAGCGGCCACCGACGTAAATTCGAGCTGTCGCAGTAGAAGCAGCGGTACTAGAACCGATGGTAATTACCCAATTGATTTTGCCCGGTAGACTGTAAGCTGCCGCTGCTGCTCCTGCTGCTGATTCACCGTAGCCCCGGGTCGAAAGATATTGTGTTGCCGCGTGCGTGCTGTCGTGAGCGAGAGGTAGAGGCGGGGAGAGGTAGGAGGAGGGGAAGGAAGGGTAGAGGCGGGGAGATGGAGGAGGAGGGGAAGGGAGGGTAGAGGCGGGGAGATGGAGGAAGAGGGGAAGGAAAAATAGAGGCGGGGAGATGGAGGAGAAAGGGAAGGAAAGGTAGACGCGGGAAAGAGCAGAAGGGAGGTTGAGGCGGGGAATAGGGGAAGGAGAGATAGAGGCGGAGAGAGGGAGGAAGAGGGGAAGGAGAGATAGAAGCGGAGGGAGGGAGGAAGAGGGGAAGGATAGGTAGAAGCGGAGGGAGGGAGGAAGAGGGGAAGGATAGGTAGAGGCGGGGAGCAGAGGGCAGTCTGAGTAGGGGAGAGGGGTGGTTGGAGGTGAAATAAGCGGAGAAAAATAGGTGCAAGTAGGAGGCGGAGAGGGCGGTAGGATGTGGAGCAGGACAGGCAGGGAACGGTAAGGGGAGGGTAGGTGCGGGCGGTGGAGGAGGGGCCGTTTAGAAGTGGAAACGAATTGTGAGCGACAGAAGGGAGTGGTGGAGATGGAGGTGAACTGTTGAAGGTGGAAAGGGCAGGGAGAGGAATAGGAAAGAGGGGAAATTGATTCCCTGCGGCGTGTGCGTGCGAATCAACTATATGCTCTATAAAACACTGCACGGGTGTCGTTGTCGCGAGAGTAAATACTGTGGGGGGGGGTCGCGCGCACGCGTGTCGGCGTCGTTAGGGCGGCGCGGCATCGGATGCTACCGCCTCCGCGTACGTACTTCCTCGAGTGCATGTGTTGGGGGGGAGGGAGGCACAATTACCGGGTATTACGCCAGCCGACGGGCGGGCGGGCGGTCTTGGAGGGGGAGGTGATTGCCGGTGGGTGGGTGGTTGGGTGCGGGGGTGGTTTGGTCGTCGCGTGTGGGTGGGTGAACAACGAATGGTTTACACGCGCATTTAGTGGTAGGTGGGGTGTGCGTGTGTCTGTGCGTGGGTGCGTGCGTGACGACAGTAGGTGTTTACGTGAGTGTACGGGCGGTGTAGGTGATTAGTGTGTGGGAGTTATATTTGATTAGATAAGGGGAAGAGTGTGAGTGGTAGAGGTAATGTTGAATGTTAGTTTTGTAGCAAACAATATGGTTGGTGTCTGGCTGGATTCGGGGGTGCAGAGGTATATATATATATATATATATATAATATCAGAGGTGAACAAGGACAATTTTTTTTTTCATTATTTGACGTTAATTGATTATCATTAAATATATCATTATCTACCCCTGATAATATCAAGAGCTAATAATACATATATAATAGTATAATATAATATCGTAGTCTACCTATCTCTCTGTTATGCTGTATGCTCTCTCTCTCTCTCTGCTCTCTATGCTGTATGCCTATATGTGTGTATATATGTGTAATGCTTGCGGTGTTTTGCTTGCAGAAACTTTACTGCAGATGGACAGACAGCAGCTGCAGAAGTTTGCGCAATATCTAATAGCGGAACACCACACCGAGGTTCTGCCGACAGCACAGAAGCTGGCCGACGAAATCCTGTGTGCCAAGTCCGAAATCAACTTGCTTCCAGGTTGGTGGCAGATTCAGGATCGTTTGTTACGGGGGTGGGGAAGGCAGGGGACTGCAGAATGACCGAGTTGGTTGGGTGAGATGAAAAAATTAAAAGTAAAATGCGTGTATTGAACAACAATTGACACAACGCGTGACATGACACATGGGGGGGACACAGTACGTGACACAATGCGTGGGACACAATACGCGACACAACGCGTGGGACACAATACGCGACACAACGCGTGGGACACAATACGCGACACAACGCGTGGGACACAATACGTGACACAACGTGTGGGACACAATACGTGACACAACGCGTGGGACACACTACGTGACACAACGTGTGGGACACAGTACGTGACACAACGCATAGGACACAATACGTGACACAACGCGTAGGACACAATACGTGACACAACGCGTAGGACACAATACGCGACACAACGTGTGGGACACAGTATGCGACACAACGCGTGGGACACAATACGCGACAGAACGTGTGGGACACAATACGTGACACAACGCGTGGGACACAATACGCGACACAACGTGTGGGACACAATACGTGACACAACGCGTGGGACACAATACGCGACACAACGCGTGGGACACAATACGTGACACAACGTGTGGGACACAATACGTGACATGACACATGACACGATGCCGTGATTGCGTCTCCAACAACACGCGACACAATACGTGACGCAACACGTCTCCAACAACACGAGACACATCACGCGACACAACACGCGACACATCACGCGACGCATCTCGTAACCTCTCGCCGTGTTAACCTCGCGCGCGCGCAGGTGCACCGGACCCGACGGCCGGCGCATCGGTCGACGACGACCACTCGTGGCACCTGGACGAGGAGCAGGTGCGCGAACAGGTGCGCTCCTACCTGTCACAGGGCGGCTACTACAACACGGGCAAGCAGCTCTCGTCCATGTTCGCCAAGGTGAGCTCAGCTTATCCACTCGCGCGCGCATGTGCGAGAGAGAGAGGGGGAGAGGGAGAGGGTAGAGAGGGAGGGGGAGAGGGAGAGGGAGGGAGAGAGAGGGGGAAGAGAGGGTAGAGAGGGAGGGGGAGAGGGAGAGGGAGGAAGAGAGAGGGGAGAGAGGGAGGGGGAGAGAGAGGGAGAG